ACCCCAAGCAGAATAAAACCAAAGCCAAACAAACTAGAAAATATTTCTTTAGCTTGAGGTACAAAGATGATAATGGGGGAAGCCTTGGGGTTTCCTGGTTGGAGAAGACAGCAGACAGGGTCATGAACAACTTCGCAGATTCCCTCTGCCCTGGCATGCTGTGAGTGTGTTATCATCTAAATGGCTAAGAAGCTCTAACCCAGAGAGCTGTAACTGTCTCATAAAGAAGTTCTGTAAATGCAATAAGTTTGGGCTGATTGGTAAGATCAGAGGGAGGAGGCAGAAACTTTTTTTATAGGCTCTGTATGGTTCAGGGTTAAGGATGCTTCATAAACATTTAGAAATAACAAGTATCAAATCATTAGGGTGTGATGGTACCTTTTCTAGATCACCTTCAAATAGTAGCAAGAAAGCCAAGAATTTCAGAAACCTCTTACAGCCAGCCTGATCACAAAGTAAGCAAGGCCTAGGGTCACCTCCATTCATGTTTAGGCTCCTAGAATATTAAAATAATTAATGAGTAACAAAACACGGTGTTTCAGTTATCTACCACGGCGTAACAAACCACTCTGAAACTTAGTAGTTAATCCACATCCACTCATTTTGTCACAGTTCACAGTTTGGGCAGGGCTCGGAAGGGACAGCTCCTCATCTATGCTACATGTACATATAACTGTATTCATCTAGGTGTTAGATAGGTTGTGACATCCCTGATGGCCTGTCATTCTCCAGGGTCCCTCTCCATGTGGCCTCTAATCACCTGGTAGTGGAGTTCCACCTTCTAACATGGCAGTTGGATCCCAAGAACATAAAGGAGGGAGCTGCCAGGTTCCTTAAGGCCTAGACGTGGAACTGGCCTCTGTGCTGAGTTTCACCACATTCTATCGGTGGAACCAGGGCACAAGGCCAGCCCAGGGGGAAGGCGAGGGGAATACACCCCACCTTTGACTGGAGGAGCAGCAAGAGCCTACGAAGAAAGGAAGGGTTTTGACTGTCATATTTGGAGATTGTTCACCATACAGGGTGGCAAAAATTGTGGTGTGTTTTAAATGTTTACATTTAGAACATTTACACTTTTAATATAAAAGTATACAATGACTATACGGTTAACCTCCTTTGATATAATATCAATATTCTCAATTTAAGGTGGAGCCCAAAGAGCCTTTCTTGTTTCCTCACATCTTAGAGTTTGTTGTCCTGGGGCCTCTCTTAAAGTCTGCGAAGAAAGTGCTTTCTCTTTCTGAGTCTTGAATGATTGTGTAACTTGTAACAGGCACCAACAGTCACTCATTCCTAAGGGCACTTCTCCTTCTCAGAGTTCCTGCTTTTCTGATTTTAGGTATAGCAAGGTCACCAGGAAAATCCCTGATTGTCTCCCTGCCGAGGCATCAGCCTCCCATCATCTAACCAGCAGGAGCAGGAATCTCTTCCCACATCGTCTGACCCTCCAGGGTACGATAGGGTGTTATTAGTCTGTGTACCTGCCACGCAGCAGTCACTTCCTGTATGGAGAGATGGAGTCTCACCTGTAGAGTGGGATGATTCTATGGCATACAAAAAATACTTCATCGTGCTAACTAGCAGTGGAGGTGACGCATCCCGTAGATCAGCAATGAGGAGAGGTACCAAGGGGCTTTGGGAAACTTGCGTGAGAATTTGAGGGCTTTTGGGTAAAGTCCCTGTCAGCAGCTGCCACGGAGTGGAGAAAAAGATGAAACTGAACCCAATGAATCCCGGCCAGGTGCTACAAGTTGTGTCAGCTCCGTAACAATTAGACAGAAATTACTGTGGGATCGCAAGCTGCTATTTTGGGAGCATGAGTTGTTTTTTTAAGCTGTTTGTATTTTCCATAATTAGGTCCTTTTTGTTCTCTGTTAGTGTTGAGTACATTTTTAAAATGCTGGTCTGGTCAGCTGTACTAAGAGGAACGAAGAAAGAGGTTTTTGTCCAGTTTGGACCAGGCTTTTAAAGGGGAAGCAGCTTACCAACCACCTGACAGTGGGAACAGCAGAGTGGTGTTGCCCAAGTGAGAGCGCCTCAAAGGGAAGGTAAACTAAGGGCAGCAGAGTTGGAAACCCTTATTCAGAGACTCTCCCCACACAGAGATGTGTTTATCAAATCTGGGTCCCTCCTCCATCTCCAGAGCCCGTTACTCCTTAGTGGTCTAGACAAGAGGCCAAAAGGGACCTCAGTGAACACTGGGAAGAAAGCCTAAACTGGGATTGGTGGCCCAGGGCTGGAATGGGTGGGTAACTATGGAGTTTGCTCTTCAGAATGGAGCTAACAAAGAAAATCTGGTCTTAGTTAGGACATGGGGGAGGGAGGGTTCAATTTGAGGGTGAACCGCCAGGGGGAGAATAATCAGGCAGGCACGTTACCAAGTCTTTTTTCTAGTTAATGACTGCAGAAGACCCCACCCAATGCCTAGGAAAGGGTGAAGGTGAGTGGGCTAGCACAGCCCCTTAAGCAAAGTGGGGCACAAGGAAGAGCTTAGGGAGAATCTAAGGCAGAAATGGGACAGGATTGGGGGTAGGAAAAAGCTGCCTGCTGATTGTGGGTACATGAGGACTGGGGACCACCCAGGCACCGTGGCCATGAGGCTTGGAAGGCTTGAATCATTCCAGACCTCACCTAGACCTGGTTCTCTGGGGCTGCTGCTCGAAGACCTTTAGTAGCTGCAGCTGGGTAGAGCTGGGAGTGGGCAGCCTCAGTCACTGCCAATGTCCCAGGCTTAGCACTGCTCTCACAGCCTGCTTCAGTTATCTAAAACTGAGTAACACACTTGAGCTAACACTTAGTGACTTAAAACAACAATCCTTTACTTTGCATTTCAGGTAGGGCAAAGAAGGACCACTTTGCTCCACATGTCTGGGTCTCATAGCTGAAATGGCTGGGAACAGTGGGGGACCAACAGGGTATCTCTCTTTCTGCAGACTCAAGGCATCTCTCTGCAGTCTATCCCATTTTCTCTCCAGCAGGGAGGTCTCGGCATAGCTGACTTAACAGAGGCTCAGGGCTCCAAGAGCAATGATTTCCAGAGGCCCAGGCAGAAGTTGCAAGGTATATCACCTAGCTTCAGAAGTTCCAGGATATGGTGATTTCCACTGTATTCTATTGATTTAATGTATCACTAAATCCAGCCCAAATTCAAAAGGAGAAGGTATAGACCCCACTTCTCAACAGGTGTCGAAAGATTTTGCCACCATTTTTAATGCATCACAGCATCTCGCTAAGTCCTTAGCAAAGTCTCCCAGCTGAACTCCCTGTCCCCAGATTGGTGGTAGCTGGGAGGCAGCAATACACAAGGTAGAAAAAGTATAGGCTTTGGAGGCCACTAGGCTTGCATTCTGGGCCAGGCAGGATCCACCACCTAGCAGCTGGTTGAGCTTGTTAGGTTACTTAACTCTTGGAGCTGTGATTTCCTTGTGTGTAAAAATGGGAATAATACTACTATAGTGGTCAAGAAAATGTACTTCTCAGATCTTCCAGCGCAGAGCATAATTAACCAGTGACCCTGCCCCAGTGGCTGAGCTCTGAAATCTGTCCTCTAATATTCATCTCCAAGTTGGGGCCGAGGCCAGTTTCCTAGGGCTGCTCCTAGCCCATGACGAAGCACAAGAGACCTATGCTTGACAGTTGCTGGACTCCTGGGACAGGCCAATTTGGCTCGAGAACCCTCCAGGGCCTTGCTGAACTTTTTTAGAGTTGTACTGTAGTACAAGATGCTTCCTTCCGCTCAGCCTTCCCTGCTTGCCTTTCCCCTTCACAAGGATCACATCAGCATCCCAGGTCCAGCTCTCTGTCCATTTCCCTCATAAATCACTTGCGCAGTGCTCCTGTCTGGCACTGCTTTGGGGGAACTGGGACAAACAGTCACATACTCACAGGGCTATGAGTACTAGATGAGTGGGTGTATGCAAGCACCTAGGCAAGGCCTGGCATATAGTTGACATTCATTTCATTACTATTTATTGAGTCCTGCTCTGTGCAGGCTTTAGCCTGGGTGCCTGGGACATAATGGTGAACAAAGGTGATGCGAACGGCAGGGCCACCTGCTTGAAGCTTCTTGGCGACTCCCACTGCTGAGAGATCAAGTCCCAACTCTCCCGTGGGACACAAAGAGCCTTTCAAAATCTGACTCCAAGAGGCTTAACACCTCCCACTCCACTCTGTACATCTGAGCCTATAATCAAAAGGAACATCCTTCTTTCCTCCTACAATCTTGCCCTTTCACCCCCAATGTCTTAGCACACCTTTTTCTTCTCCTTGGAATGCGTCTTCCCTCCCTTGTACAGACACCTCACGTGACAAACCCTTACATATACCCCCAAACCAAGTTCAATCGTGGGGTCCTAGCTCACGGGGCTGAATGTGCTTGCTGGCACAGATCTCAGCACGCACCTCGTAAAAGCACTTGTTACACTGTGCTATAATTGCTGTAGCAGTGTCCCTGCTAACTTGTGAGCTTGTCTAGAACAGGGGCAATGTCCTATCCATCCCGAATGCTTGGCACTTGGTAGGCCCTCCGTACGCATCTGCGGCGTGGGTAAGCGAATGAGCCAAAGAGGACCAGCGACTTTCCGGCACAATCGCGGGGCCGACCGCGAGTAGGCGGAGGCGCAGCAGCGCTTGGCCGGGGTCACGAAGCCGCAGGCACTGGGGTCCGCCCGGGGTAGGAGCAGCCAGCGCCGGCCGAATCGCGGCCTCCGCCGCGGGGCACATGACTGCGGGCTCGGCCTCCGCCCCGCCCGCCTCCCCGCGCAGCTGCTGGCTGTCGCCTCTCGGGGTTGCGGCGAGCGGGCCTGCGCGCTCCCTCTCTCGCTCCAGAGCTGCGCCAGGCGGGCGCCGCGGATGCCGTAGCGAGGGAAACCGAAACCAAAGCGGCTCGTAGCCCTCCCGGGCCGGCCAG